CCACATGGCATTTTCCCTACGTGTGTGCCTGTCTCCAAATTTCCTTTTTGTAAGGAAACCTATCAGGCTAGATTAAGGGCCCATCCTACTTCAGTATGACCTCATCTTAACTAATTACATCTGACATAATCCTCTTTCCAGAGGGTCATATTCTGAGTTCCTGGGAGTGGGAACTGCAGCATATGACTTTGGGGGGACACAGTTCAACTTGTAACAGAATCCCAGGGACTTTAGGGAAGTCTCACACATTTTCTGGGCCTCATTCTTTTTATTAAAAAAATAGGAATAATGATACAGATATGAGACCTAGATTAAATGAAGACCAATGGCAATATTTAAAAGCTGCTGGGGGCTTCCCTGGTGACGCAGTGGTTAAGAATTCGCCTGCCAATGCAGGGGACACGGGTTCGAGCCCTGGTCCAGGAAGATCCCACGTGCTGCCGAGCAACTAAGCCCATAAGTCACCACTACTGAAGCCCTTGTGCCTACAGCCCGTGCTCCGTAACAAGAGAATCCACTGCAATGAGAAGCCCACGTACTGCAACGAAGACCCAACACAGCCAAAAATAAATAAGTTTAATTAATTAAAATAAATAAATAAAAGCTGCTAGATGGAATAGCAGAGAAAGAGAAGGGAGCAAAACAGAAGGAATTTTGCTTAATTATTAGAAAAGAGTGTCTGCATCTGGACACCTCACCATTTTAGAGTAGGATGTGGGGTTAAAAGATTAGTCAGCAAAAAACAGAGCAAGAGTATGAGATACATGAAGAGTTCAGAGTAATGAGTTCCTCACTCATAAGGAGTGTTTCTTTAAATAGTGAGGGGAGAGAATGCAAAATCTAGAGCAACAAAGTAAGAAAATTAGAGCACATCACATGATCTCTCTGCGTCTCAGTTTCCACATCTGAAAAAATGCTTATTCCCCCACAGATATGAGAAGAGCACCTTGAGAGGGAAACTATTGCTGGAAATATGTCAGCAAATGTAGATTAGCACCATTTATTCAAATGCACGTGCTGTTTCTTTCATACTCATCTTTCTATTTTTTTCATACTTATTTTTCACTATACAAGTACTGACTTCAAACTTTCTACCTGTATCCACAGATATTCTTCTCTACTCCTAAATAATTTTCTTTTTTAAAAAAACAAACAGTATTTCTTTGTAAAATTTGTATTATGGAAGTAGGAGACAAAAATCTTGAGAGTCAAATTCGTTCTCAGAAATCGCTGGCATTGAAAATACTTTGTATTCATTCATTGAAACTGTTGGGAAAATTGTACATTGGAATCCCCAACAAAGGCATTTTGCATTATTCACAATGTTTAAATGAGGCTGTCAATCTCATCACACAATAAATAAGGAGGTTATAATGGTTTTGCATAGTCGCAGCTACTAATGCTTTTGGCAGAGATTTCCTAATCTTGATTTAAATATTTAGAAGACCCTCAAACGTGCGCATGCGCGTGCACACACACACACACGCACGCGCACACACACACACACACATACACACACGCACACACACGACAGAGAGAATAAGAGAGAGAGATTCTTCCAACAGTCCTCCAAGGGATCACAACTCAACATCTCTCTACACTTCACTTTCCCCTTGGATTTTCAAGTCTCTCACAATCAACTCCACGAAGCACTCAGTTTTGTTCTTTGTAATCATTATTTATGGTCTTAGATTATGCTAGTTGCTGTAAGAGGAGTGAAAGACCAAAAGTTGAATACAATAAGAATTTCTTGAATCTCTTATAATCAAAGAGATTGAAAATATATATGTACATAAATAATTATAAGACAGAAGACACCATAGAGAGAAATAAATTAAGATGTGTATTCAGATGAGGAAAAAATCCTACTGCGGATGAGTGAAGGAGGGCAAGGAGCACCTTCACAGCGGAGCAGCATTCGGAAAGGGCTTTTAGCAATGAGCAGTATTTTTAGAAAAGATACAGAAACAATAAAGAAGTCAAGCTTGATTAATTTGAGTATATTTGTGGAGTAGGAAGAAGTGAAGTTATGTGGTTGAAACACATAAAATGCTATTTTTATAAGTCAAAATTTTATGTTGGGGCCAAGCTATAGAAGAGCTCAAATGTCAAAATAAGGAGTCTGAGTTTATTTTCTCAAAAAATTGGGAGACCTTTGAGAGGAGAGCATAAATGTGCATTATTTTTTAAAAGATTTGCTTGATAATTTCAGCTTAAGCTGAAAATAGGAAGAGCAGTTGTGAAGCTCTTGCAGTACTGGGTACCAACTAAGCCAAAGTTCCACCAGAATTCATGCCATTCAACAAATATCTCCTCTTTCCTGCACCTACTTTCTATCCCCTGTACATTCCTATTTAGTCAACATCCTTCACCAATTCCTTTGGCCTCACCTTCTCTCCCTGTCCTGTCCATTCTTGCCTCTTCACCTGGTTAGGCAAAGCCCAGCTCAGCAGGGAGATAGGGTCCATCTGTCTGAACTTGCAGTAACAGCTATCATGATGCTTATTCCATTCTACCAGCATATCTTTGCGTGTCTCTCACTTTCCCATTTCATCACGCTCATCTGAAGGGCAATCGTAATGCATTATGTATGTACCTAGGGCCTAGCAGGGCAGCTGGCACATACCAGATGCTCCATAAATATAGTTCAGTGAGTACATTTCCCACCATATCAACTTAGGGAAAAAAAATTGGTCGCTATATTAAAACCTTCCAAGACCTACTACTCAACATTCTGAATAGCATGCCAAGAGTTTGTGAGCCTTATGGCCTGGGTTTTCTGGGCTATCCTCAAACCAAAATAGTTTATAATTTTCTGAAAAACTTTAATCCCTATGATATCATTTCATAGAGCCATATTTAATGCATTTTTTCAATTTTCCTTAGGGCTTATCAAATGCAATTCTGGTCACATATAGGTGCCCAATAATATGTTTATTGATTGATTAGATAAACATTTCAGGAATTTTAATTACCAATCAACCAAATAAGTACGTTATATTTTTCAAACCATGTGTCCTACTTTTGTGTCAAAAACGACTACTGTATTTATAATTTATTCTAGATAAATAAGCACTTAGATACCAAGTGTTATGTTTCTTTCAACGTTCTTGAGATGTGAATGCAACTAGTTCTAGCTCTTAAGACCAGTCTAAGCCCCGTTTGCAAACCTCCCAACAAATTTGACTCTAAAAGCTTTGAAGAGAGATATTTTTACTGAAGGTTTGTTGGCAAAACAAGGAGATTTGTTACCTTACACATTACAGAGCACGAGTTTCTGAAAAATTTATTGTTTCTTTTCCACCCCAAAGATCCACCCCTTAGAGCAACTTCTCTCTTTTCTACCCCACCCACAACCCTCTCATATGAGACTCAGTCATTCTGGGTTTTCTCACTCCATTCTCTGACCATTTTTCCCAGCCTCCTACCCCTTGTTTAGAAAGTTTTCCTACAGGGGTTTTCCCCTCTTCTTAAGTAAAGTAATTCAGCCTCTCTCGGCTTATCCAATATTCCTCTCCAAAACCAACTAAGCAGCAAAGATGCTTCTTCCTGGTGTGGATGGGGATAAAAACAAGAATTTCAGAGACGTATTTAATATTTCCCTTATAATATTGTCTCCTAGGAGCACATTTAATGCCTCTTTTAAATTTTCCTTAGGGCTGGTCAGACACAGTCCTGGGCACATTTAGGTAATCAATAAATATGTGTTTATTGATTTGTTAAATACACATTCCAGAAATTTGAATTATCGGTCCCTCAGAAGCATTTTACAATATTAATCTAACAGATAGTCCTTGGACACCTACTATGTGTGACACCATACTGGGTGCCAAGGGAGCCTTGGATGGCATGAGGAGTGCCAGAATCCCAGAAGAAGTTCCCACCACGTCAGCCTATTTATCCCACTAACAAAATAAACTTGGAAATTGACCTGAAGAAGTGATCTAAAAGTCTCTTTAGGCTCATAATTTTCCAAGGCTCATTATACAATTTCACATTAGAGTTTTCAGCTCTTTAGATCAAAAAGTAATAGACCCACCCAAAACAAGCTAAGAACATAAGCAATATTTCGACCACTGTAGGAAGACTCACGCCCCTCTCAGCTCTCTGACTGAACCAGAAAGCCTAACCTGCTCGCATCCTTTCACACTGGAAAGCGTCCTCTGTACATTAGGACAACCTAATGTTAACCAACATTGTCCATTAAACCTAGTTCATGTTCACTAGCAAGGAAATCATTTTTAATGCAAAGAATTCCATTTTAATGTTTCGGAATGGGCCATTTATTAGTATACAAGAGGGTCAGAAGAACTAATTAGAGACTATTTGAGCAAGTGTAAGTAACATGGTTTTCCCAGGTTGCCAATTGGGACTCCAAATCCCAGAGCAGAATACTTGGTTGCAGATATAGTGTCCGATTTTACATACCTGTGGGATTATTTGAGTGCCCCCCAGCTCAATTTAAATGTCAGGTTGTGGAAATTTGCTTCAGTAAAGCAAGTTTAAGTCATATCTGTCCTTTTGATTTTTATAGGATCTGAGCATCTAAAAGCCTGCTTCGTTTTGTTTTTTTAAATTAGCTCCATGTCATTCTTTTTTTCATTTTATGTACTTCAGTATAAACACTGAAAAGCAGAAACCTTTCTTTTTTATACAGTCCTGCATTCAGGACAGTAATTATCTGAATTGTTTAATTCCCGCTCCCTTCCTGTGTGCATGTAACACAGTTTACCAAAATTTCCTCAATATGAGATCTTCCTAACAGTTTCTTTTTTCAGCAGTTGTGAGGGAAGCTGTCTGGGGAGAGGGAGTAATTTTGGAATTTGATAGCAAAGTCCCTGAGGATATGAAAACTCGCTCAAAATGCATTGTACAACCGCCTCAGGCAAGGAAGGTATACCCAAGCTCTGAACATCTGGCTTGCAACTATTATTTACATAATGAACTCATTCTTTCCCACCCTCAATATTTACCTCTGGATCCTCTGCTCTCTCCCTCAGGGAACACTCCAGAAAGCAGCTGAGCCAGCCTAAGCCAACGTGGGCCAGCTGGTAGCCAGCCTGGCCTCCACTTACCCACTTCACTCTTCAAGTTCAGGTACAAGCTTTGCTTCCTACCTTTATCTTTTATGACTTCCACTTTCATTGTTTCCATCTAAGGTATTCTTTTTTCTGAATGTATTAATTTTTCCTTCAAGCCACAACAAAAACTCTCTTCTTTTCTTCTTTTTTTAAACAATTCTTTAACTAGGATCTTTACTGTCTCTGTTTAATTTTGAACCAGAACTTCAACTCATAGAAAACAAGTTTAAAAGTCATGCTTATGAGAAACTTACATAAAAGAAATGTTTAAGTCAACTTAAAAACAAATAAAGAAATAAAGCCAAAATTTTCTCCCAGATTAATCTATAAAAACAATGGAATACACAAACACAGTGGAACAACATGACAACCTGATTCTGAAGTTAAGACATGTTAGCAAAGAAACAGGACTCTCCAAGATAATCTTGGTTAAAAAGAGCAAGGAGGAGTGGGAGATTTGTGTCCTACCTGCCGCCATCATTTTTATTAAAGCTCTAATAAGACAATGTGGCATGTGAATTGGGTTAGGTAGACAGAATAATGAAAAGAATAGAGAGGTCTAAATTAATCTCACACAAATAATATGAAGCAGAAATTTGAGATCAGTGTGGGGAGTAATGATTATTCAATTAATGGGTCTGAGACAATTGGTTATCTACCAGAAAATTGAATGTTTACTTTTTAACCCAGGTCATATCCAAAAATTAGTTATCAGTTATAGATTTAAAATAAATGTGAAAGGTAAAAACTATAGATATTATAGAATAAAATATAGGATATCTTTACAAAGTCAGACTACAGAGGCTTTCTTAAGCAGTAATAAAACTGGCAAACCATAAAGTAAAAGATAGATATATCATTACATTGAAACTAAAAACTTGCATTCATCAAAAGGTATAAGAAGTTAAAAAGACAAATCACAAATCACTGATGTAGAATCGATAAGAAAAAGATAACCCAATAGAAAAATGAGCAAAAATGTAAATGGGCATTTCACAGCAAAGGCAACACAAATAGCCCTAAGCATATGAAAAGATGCCTATCCTTACTGGCAATCAGAAAAATACAAAATAAAGCCACAGTGAGAAATGATTACAGTAAGTTCCCTACATATGAACAAGTTCTGTTCCGAGAGAGAGCTCGTAAGTCCAATTTGTTCATAAGTCCAACAAAGTTAGCCTAGATACCCAACTAACACGATTGGCTATATTGTACTGTACTGTAGTAGGTTTATAATACTTTTCACACAAATAATACATAAAAAACAGACACAAAAAATAAAGAAAACATTTTTAATCTTACAGCACAGTACCTTGAAAAGTACACTAGTACAGCACAACAGCTGGCATACAGGGGCACATTCGCATCTTTGAAAGTTTGCAACTTGAAGGTTTGTAGGTAGGCGATTTACTGTAATTAATTTTGTTAAAAATTAAAACGATGATACATTTAAAAATTAAAATTCAATCAAAACAAGGTGAAATTTTAACATACAGGTGGTGATGACTTCAAGTGTAACAGCCACCTGGAAAAAAGTTTATCCAGACAGTAGTAAGAAAAATTGAACATAGACATATCCTATGACTCAGCAATTCCATTCCTATGCTACAGGCTGAATGTTTGTGTCTACCCCCAAATTCATACGTTGAAACCTAACCCCCAAGGTGATGATATTAAAAGGTGGTGGGGGGGGCTCTTTGGGAGACGATTAGGTCATGAGGCTGGAGCCCTCAGGGATTCGTGCCTTTATAAAAGCAGCCTGAAAAACCTCCCTTTATCCCTTCTGCCATGTGAGGACATGGAGAAAAAGTGGTCATCTGGGAGGTGAGTCCTCATTAGATACCTCATCAGGTATAAGCTGGTGCTTGATCTCGGGCTTCAGAACAGTGAGAAATAAACGTTTGTTCATAAGCCAGTCAGTTTATTGTATTTTTTGTTATAGTGGCCCAAAGAGACTAAGACAGAAAATACCATAGGGAAACTCTAATCTATGAGGCAAGGAGAATTGTATAAGAATATTCTTAATAGCCCCAAACAGGAAGTGACCTTAATGTCCATCAGTAAGACCATGGATAAACCATCCTGTATTCACACAATAAAATAAGACATAGGAGTGAAAGTTATGAATTACTATTACATGCATCACACGAGGCTACTGGCCCAAAGAGCATGACACGTGCCCCAGAGTACTGTGCATGTCCTCCAGGTTAAGACTGGATTAACAGTATTACAACCATATTCCAGCACGTGGGAAAGGGGAAGGAGAAGATGAAAAGACAAGCAATTTCCTCAAGGAAGTGACAAAGAAGTCGCACCCATCACTTCTAATCATACTACCTTGGCAAGAATTTAGTCACATGACTATACAGTAGCTGCAAGGGAGACTGGAAAACATAATCTCTAGCTAGGCATCCATGTGCCCTTTTGAACTCAGGTGAAAGTTCTCTTCCTACAGAAAAGGAGTAATATGATATTGTAGGTAGAGGTGTAGCCCCCTGTATCAATATCTACCCAATTTCATTCCCTTCACTCTCTCCCTGGAGATAACTTCTATCCTGAATTTGCTGTTTATCATCCCCATTCATATGTGTGTACCCACGACAATTATTGACTTTTTAGTTTTTAACCCTTAGAGGCATGGTATCATCCTGGATGTATCATTTTGCATGTTTTTCTCATACGTCCTTATATTTCTGAGATCTTTCCTTGTTAATACGTGTAGCTCTAGTTCACCCAGTTTGCCCACTGTATAGTGATCACATGTGAATGTAATCCAAGTTACTTATTAATTCTCCTGTTGGTGAAAATTAGGTTGCTTTCAATTTTTCTCCAAAGTCCAAAGCTCAGAGAAAGGTGTGAGTGATAGTCCAGGTTGGAGATACCCATGTCCTGAGCTATGTGTTGTGTCTGTACTATGAAAATTAAGAAGACAGGGGAGTCAAGATGGCCACGTGGGAAGACACGGAGTTAGCATCTCCCCACAACTAGGGCTCCTTCCAGCCACTTGTGGGGAACTATGACACCCAAAGAGAAGGGAGGAACCCCAAAGTGAACTGGTAGGATGTAGGGGGACTGAGTGGGGAGGAGAGGTGGAAACCAGACAGGATCAGCACCCCTGAGGCCAGGGAGATCAGGAGAGGCAGGTGGGAGGGACTCTCTGGGAAGAGCAGGAGAGGAGCGGAGGGCAATTGCCTGGCCCACTCGGGCCGGGAAGCCTGCTGAGCTCCCAGGCCAGTACCCCCACCACAAAGGCCCATCCAGGCCACGTGGGTCCTGGGGGCATAGGAGGGAGGCCAGGGAGATCAGGAGAGGGAGAGAAGCAGAGAGGGCGATTGCCCACCCACTCGGGCATGGGGAGTCTGCTGAGCTCTCAGCCTGGTCCCATGCCCTCCAAAGACCCCTGCAGGCCACATAGGTCCTTGGGGGCATAGGAGGGAGGCCGTGGAGATCAGGAGAGGCAGGCAGGAGGGGCCCTCCCAGACGGGAGGAGCATTTTCCCCACCCAGTCAAGTCCAGGAAACCTAATGGGCTCCCAGGTGAGGTCCCCTGCCCTCTGAGACCAGGGGTGGGGGGCACGCCTGGGCCCCTTCTGTTCCTGGAGCCTAAGGGCCACCCCCCACAGCCCCCAGGGCCTTTTCCACCCCTGTGGGTCCTAAGCATTGGCCCAACCCACCACCCAAACCTCGCCCTTGCTTAGGCCCTGCCCTCCACAGCCAAGGCCTTCCCCCCTCCCCCCACCATTTGTTTCTTTTCCCGCCTCCTCTTTTCTACTATTGTGGTACTGATGTACCTTCCGTTTGTTGATTCATCTATATTTTTATTTTTATATTCCTCCTAATATATCTGTTAGTTTCCTAGTCTAATTTTATTTTTTACTTTGTTATTGATGTGTTTTTGTTTTTTGGGGTTTTTTTTGCCACCCCCAGGTGGCTTGCAGGATCTTGGTTCATGAGCCCCAGGTCAGGCCAAAGCTCCTGCAGTGGGAGCTGCCAGTCTGGACCACTAGACTAACAGAGAACCTCAGATCCCAGGGAATATTCATCAGAGTGAGGTCTCACAGAGTTCCTCATCTCAGCACCAAGACCCAGCTCTACCCAACAGTCTACAAACCTCAGTGTTAGAAACCTCAGGACAAGCAACCAGTAAGACAGGAACGCGATCCCACTCATTAAAAAAAGAAAAAAAAATGAGACAGCAAAAAAATATATCACAGATGAAGGAGCAAGGTAAACCTACAAGACCAAATAAATGAAAAGGAAATAGGTAATCTACCTGAAAAAGAATTCAGAGTAATGATAGTAAAGATGATCCAGAATCTCAGAAATAGAATGGAGGCAAAGATTGAGAAAATACAAGAAATGTTTAACAAAGATATAGAAGAACTAAAGAACAACACACATATGAACAACACAATAACTGAAATGAAAATTACACTAGAATGAATCAATAACAGAATAACTGACGCAGAAGAACGAATACGCAAGCTGGAAGACAAAATGCTGGAAATAACTGCCAAGGAGCAGAATAAAGAAAAAAGAATGAAAAGAATTGAAGACAATCTCAGAGACTTCTGGGACACTAAATGCACCAACATTCAAATTACAGGGGCCCCAGAAGAAGAAGAGAAAAAGAAAGGGTCTGAGAAAATATTTGAAGAGATTATAGTAGAAAACTTACCTGAGAAAGTAAATAGTCACTCAAGTCCAGGAAGCACAGAGAGTCCCATACAGGATAAACCCTAGGGAAAACACACAAAGATACATATTAATCAACCTAACAAAAATTAAATTCAAAGAAAAAATATTAAAAGCAGCAAGGGAAAAACAAAAAATAACATATAAAGGATCCCCATAAGGTTATCAGCTGATTTTTCAGCAGAAACTATGCAGGCCAGAAGGCAGTGGCGGGACATACTTAAAGTGATGAAAGAGAAAAACCTACAACCAAGATTACTCTACCTAGCAAGGATCTCATTCAGATTCGATGGAGAAGTCAAACTCTTTTCAGACAAGCAAAAGCTA